GGGGTCTGCCCTGGAGCCCCACAGGGAGGCTCTCTCCCCAGAGAGGGAGAGGCCAGGGCCCCTGTGGGAAGCGGGGCATCGGGGTCCCCTCCTGGGCTCCCACAGGCCCTGGCCTGGCACTGGCTGACCTGGGGCTCTGGGACAGAGCCGGTGACGTGCCGTCAGCCATGGAGTGGCTGCCCGCCTTTTCTGAAGGCTTCCGGTCCATGTTCAGGTGCGCTTAGGAGAGCCCGCAGGCGCTGTCCTCAGGTTGGGCAGGGTAGCCCTCTCTCTGGGCCTCCCCTGCCCGGCCCTGCCAGCCCTGACCTCACCCCTGAGGTCACAATGGTGCCAGCGCCCAGGGCAGCTTTCCAGGGACACTGGTGAACTGGACACGGTGGTCTGGGCGCAGCCCGTGTGCACGTTCCCACGCTTGTGTTCCCAGTGTGGCCTCGGACCGGACCTTCCATCTCTGGTTCACAGCTGGGCCCTGAGACCCCTGGGGTGGCCCCCTAGACACTGGGCTACAGCCTTGGGGGACCCTGAGACGGGGGGCCCGGCCAAGCTGGACTGGGACTCCCGGCCCGAGACACCCTGCGCCAGCCGATGTGCATTGTAGGCGGCAGGTTTGGGGGTGTCGGTCCCACAGCAGTGGGTGGCCAACCGCCATGTGTTCCGAGCCAGGCAGCGGTGGAGTTGGGATTCCGTGTGGGCGGACGTGGTGCTGCAGGGCAGCGCTGGGTTCAGAAGGCAGACCGGAGACCCCCCCCCCCCCCCCCCCGCATGGGCCCCTGTCACTGGACTCGGCTATTGGAGGCCCTTGGGTGGGGTGAACAGGGAGGAGGCTGCAGGGACCATGGGACCTTTGGTGACGGGACCTGCCGATGCCCCAGCCCCTGCACTGGAGGGCCCTGGCCACCTTGCCACCCCCGGACTTGGGAGAGCGCCATGTGCCCAGGACAGGGCCACGGCGGGAAAGTCTCAGACAGTGACAGGCACCGTTCAACCGCATGGAGGCTTTAGGGCTGGCCCCCGGGGCTCGAACCCCAGCTCTGCGGCTGCTGGCCAATGGCCTGTCCAGGGCCTCGGTCCCTGTGTAGATGGGCCAGCAACGCCCACCTCCCCTGGGTGGGTGGAGACGTTCATGCTTTTCTGTGAGTGGAGCTTGGCGCAGGACGGAGGCCCAGCCCCACACAGCACCGGGCTGTCTGGGCAGCTGCACCCCCGTCGGGGCGGAAGGCCTCCTGACACTCCTTCCAGGCCGGTGCTCGGAGTTGGGCTTGGTGGCGGGGGGCCCGAGGCTGGTGGGGAGAGGGGGGTCGGGACGAGGGTGTGTTTATGGAGGCCCCACCGGGCCCCCAGCGCCGTCCTGTGCAAGTTACCGGAAACCTTGCACCCCAACACCAGCCGGGCAGTTGGGGGTGCGATTTTCCCCGAGACCCGGGAAGGGCGTCCTTCCCGTAGCCTGTGCTGGAATGGAGGGGTCAGCCCGTAACCCGGCTCCCCTGGACACCGGCCTTCCCCATTCGCCACACCGGGGAGGGCACCGAGCGACCAGCCCACGGGTCCTGCCCTGAAGGAGGGTCCCTGGGAGGCCTGACCACGCCGAGCTGCCAGAACAGGCTTGGGGTGCGCCTCTTCTGTGAGAAGGGCCCCAGGCCTCTGGGCATGTCCCTGGCGGGCATTCTGCCCAGGGGCCCGTGAATGGATGGGGCCACTCCATGAGTGTCATGGATAGTCCTTAGGTCTTCAGGAATCTGGGGTCTGGCAGTTAAACGAGACCGGTTGACCCTGACTCCCCCCCCCCCTTGTTCCTCCCTCCCAAACCTGGCAACCGGCCACAGCCCGTCCTGACTCTGGGACTCCCCCCTCTCCTGGCCCCTAGGCAGGGGCCGGGAGAGCACCTCCTGATGGGCCCTTGGGGTCGGTCAGGGTCCTGCCATCCCACCCAGGCTCCCCTGCTGGGCGCTGCTCCAGGGGCCTTGGCATATAGCTCGGGCCAGGCCCATGCCTGTTCCCCTGCCCTCAGTCCTGGGGGTCCCGCTATTGGCCCTGGGCTCACAGCCAGTTTCCCCCCACTGGACCCCGCACCCCAGACCCGGAGCTCCCTCCCTGCTGAGTTCCAGCGTGTAGGGTGCGCCACGAAGTGCCTGCTGGTGGAAGAAGCAGAGAGTAGGGGCTGCCCAGGAAGGGGGTCCCGCCTCACGGGCCTGGGACCAGGGGGCGGGACCCGGAGTCGCAGCAGCCTCCTGGGCCCCAAGCAGGCGTCTTGCCCGGGACACCCCGTCTTCCAGACTCCCCCCCGCCTCACACCCCTCCCCTAATCTTTCACAAGAGGGAAAAGAGGCAAAATAACGAGGGTTTCTCCTTCACTTTCTGAAAATGAGATTTTAAAAATAACTGCGAGGCCGTGGCAGGAGGGATTACCTGGGAAGAGCGGGCTGCACAGAGTGGGTCTGGCAGGGCCTCTGGCCCCTCTTCCTCCTCTTCCTCCCTGGCCCCCCAGCCCCCCTACCCCTGCCCCGAGCCCCCCAGGCTGTGCCCTCCCTGTTCTCTTTGCCCGGTCCTTGTTTACTGCTGCTGAGTGTGGAGGTGACCGTGCCACTGAAGGAGGAAGGCACGCAGGGCCCGGACTGTGCTCCGGATTAGTGCCCTTGGTCCTCCTCCCGGCTCACTGCTCGCTGCTGAGTCACCGGGTCACGTGGCCGCCTGGGCTTCTCCTGGTCCTGGGACCCTGGGCTTTTTCTTCCTCCGTGTCTTCGCGCTTGGGGTCCCTCAGACCTCCCTTCACGTGACGTGCAGCCGTCACCCTCAGGTGCAGTGTCCTTCTCCCGGAGGCTGTTTGTAGCCACCGAGTGGTCCTGAGGGGTCCCTCCACCTGCCACTGTCACAGCCTGCGCTCTTTCCTGATCACCACTGGTGTTTCTTTTGGGGGGGCTTCATTTTTTAATTGTTCTATTACAGTTGTTCCAAATTCCCCCCCTTGGCCCCCCTCCGCCCAGCCCACTCCCGCTCCCATAGTCCGCCCCTGGCCTGCGTCCCACGTCTGTAAGTCATTCACACGTGTTCTCTGAACGGTCTCCTCCCCCTCTTCCCACTGTTATCCCCCTCCCCCGGGCACCGCCAGGCTGTTCCTGGTGTCCATGCCTGCGGTTCTGCTCATTAGATTCCTCTTACGGGTGAGATCACACCGTGTTTGTCTTCCCCTGACTGGCTTATTTCACTTCGTACAATGCTCTCCAGTTCCAACTGTGTTGTCACGGAGGGCAGGAGCTCCTTCTTTCTGCTGTGTAGTAGTCCATTGTGTGAATGTACCACAGTTTTTTAAAACAAGTATATACCAATTTAGATTGGCTGATTCTTTGTTTAAACAGTTTTATTTATATTTAGAGAGAGAGGAAGGGAGGGAGAAAGAGGGAGAGAAACAGCGGTGTGTGGCTGCCTCCTGTGCGCCCCCTGCTGGGGACCTGGCCCGCAACCCAGGCCTGTGCCTTGACTGGGAGTCGACCCAGTGACCTTTTGGTTTGCAGGCTGGTGCTCAATCCACTGAGCCGCACCCGCCAGGGCTGTCCCCCAGGTTTCTGATTCACTCATTACTGTTGGGCACCTGGGCCGTTCCCAGCTCTCGGCTACTGAAACTGGCACTTCTGTGAACAGAGGGGCGCGCCGGTTCTTTTGAGCTGATGATTCGGGATTCTCGGCACTTGGCGTTTCATTGATCAGTCGGCTTGTCTTTTGTCTTGCAGCTAGACTGCAAGCTCCCTGCAGTGGGGACCGGGGAGCAGAAGCTACTGGCCCGCACCCCCATCCCATGGGCACTTACTGTCCTCATAGTTAAGTGACGGCTTTGCTTTTCTTCTCTGGCACCTGGCCACCGGCTGAAGGTGCCAGAGACACAGCCCTACTGGGAGCGGCGCTGAACCCACGACCGATGGGTGGGAAACCGGCGACGGGAGCGCCCAGTGGGATCGGGCCCCAGGGGCTCCCGGGCGACCACTTGCCCGATGACACCCTTCATCAGTCTCTTCCTGTGCCCCTGGGGATGTCTCCCTGGCCTCTTGTCCTCATAGCACTGCCCCAGAGACACCTGTGTTCCAATCCCCTGAACCTGTCATTGTTAGCTTATATGGCAAGAAAGGACATGGTGGCCGTGATTAAGTCAAGGGCCTTCAGAGGGGGCCATTATCCCGGGTCGTCTGGGCGGACCCTACATTTCGTCACAGGTGTCCTTGTGAGAGGCAGTTGAGATACCAGCAGAAGAGGAGGAGGTCGTGTGACCCCAGAGGCAGAGACTGGGGTGATGTGGGGACAAGCTGAGGGATGCCAGCAGCCGCCAGATCCTGGGAGAGGCAGGGACGGGCCTTCTCCTAGAGCCTTTGGAGGGAGCATGGCCCCGCCCACACCCTGGTTTCAGCCCAATGACACTGTTTTAAGCCACCTGGTGTGTGGTGACCTGTGGCAGCAGCCCTGGGAAATGAACAGAATGGGTTTTGCAAAGCCCAAGCTAAGATACTTGGGTCTGATTACTGGGGCAAACCGGAAGTTTTCCCTCCAAATGCAGGACACCTGTGCCCAGGTGTGGACTACACTTTCCAGCCTCCCTTGTGGTGAAGAGTAACTATGGGACTGGATTCTCACACCCCATTTGAGATGCGAATTGTGCCGTTTCCCCCGGGGTGTGAACCCTCTTTCCAGGGTGGGAATGCACAGTGGTGAGACTCCATTCAACGCAGCCAATAAACAGTTACCTTTCCGAGCCTCAGTTTCCTTGTCTGTACAACAGGGCTGGAACCAGTTTACCTGAGATTAAGTGAGAAAAGTGGTCGCCGTGGAGAAGGGGTGGTGTAATGGGACAACACAGACACTCGACCTGGTCGGAAAGGGACGCCCGCACCCCAGGCCCGGCGCCCCAGCCTGCCGGGACGGCTGCCAGTCTCACAGCGGCCGAGGGGCCTGGCCCGGAGCCCTCTGAGCTGTCCTCCGAAAGCCCTTGACACGTGCGGTGGGTTCGCTTACACGGAATGACGGAGGCGGCCCAGGCAGTGACCAGCATTCCCCTGCACCCCTGGGGCGGCGGTGGCGAGGTGGGGCGGGGCGCACAGCTCCCTCCCAGGGCAGGAAGCAAGGCCCGTCTAGGACGTCGGGGGGCACTTTGCGGGGAGAGGGGTTTCTTCCCCAACCAGGGCTCTGGCCCCGCAGGTTCAGGCCTGTCTTTGCTGGGCTCCCAGGGAAGCAGAGAGGAAGCAGGCTCCTCACCATGGCAACCACTCCTCCTCACCACCCACTCACTGCCTACCCAGGCCCCGTGTTCCAGGCCAGCCCTGTCTGACCCCTGTCCGCGGTGCAGATGCTGAGAGGGGGCTGCTGAACCCTGGGGTGCTCTTGGGGTGGGAGTTCAGTCTGCAGGGGCGGCCGGCCTCTGCCGGGTCGTGGCCTCGACGCCACGTGAGCGCTTACAGGACAGGGGCTGTGGACACCAGGGAGACTTGCACAAAGGGGGATGGGGGCTGGTGCAGGTGGGGGCAGTCTCTGAGTGGCAGGTGAGCTGCAGGGCTGTTGGGGAGGGCCCTCTGCCCCTGCGCACCTTCCCCACCCTCTCCCCTGCTAGCTCAGCCCCCTGCCAGGTGGGGCCCCTTTAAACGCAAGGTTCTTTCCTCCCAGGAGGCCCCTCACCGTCTCCTGGGCAGCCAGGTAAACAAGCCTGACCCCCAGCCTGCTGACATGGCCTCCCCCTCTTCAGGGGACCCCAGCAAGGCAAGTCTGCCGCCTCCTCCTTTACCTCCTCCAGGTGAGACACCAGGTGCGGGGAGGGACGGAGGCAAGGGGGTGTCAGTGGCATCTGGGGCTCTGAGACTGTGACAGAGCCGGCAGCCAGCCCAGCCCCTCTTCCCAGGGAAGGGAGGGCTCTGCCAAGGCCACACAGCAGCTGGGACAGGCAGGGGCCCCATCCCGGGATGGCTGTCCTTCCTGCTCTAGTCAGGGCCAGCTGCGCGGCCGCCCCACCCCCCCGCCCCACCCCCACGGGGTCCTGCAGCCCTGAGCCCGGAGGTGGGGCAGGGTCCTCTCCCTCAGGGCTCCTTCCGGGTCATTCTCTGGCCCTGCCCCCCCCCCCAAGCCTTCAACCCGCCCTGCTGCACTCAGAAGTACGCGCCATGGCCCCTACTGGGGAGGGGCAGTCCTGTCCCCACTCGAGGTTATTTCTCCCACTCCCCCCCCCCTCAATTTTGGATTCTGGTCACTGACCCTCTTCATCTCTGGTGTGGAAACAGTGGTGATCTCTCCTATCGCACTGGCCCCTCCGTCCCCATCCCCCCACCCCGCTCAGGCCGCTGCAGCAGCACTCCTGGGGGGCACAGTTTCTAGCAAGTTCCCACCTCCTCCCCCCCCTCCCTCCCTCCCTCCTGGGCTCTCTTTTCTGTTGTGTCAGCCTGCCGGCCCCCCAGCTTCCCGCCCACCCCCCTCCTGGGCCACTGTGGCTGAGCAGAGCAGGGGAAACTCCACCCACCAGTGCCTCTGGGGCCTTCCTGTGAGGCCGGGTCCCTAACGGGACCTGTGTTCCTCCTCTGTCCTCCCTCTCACCAAGCCCCCCCCCCCCCCCCGCCGCACTCAGCTGGGGGCCTGTCCCCCCACTAGGAAACTACCGCCATGGGAGGGGGACTCCTGTGGGTTTCGGGCCCTGTGAGCCCCACCCACCTGCACCCCCAGGTGCTGTCCGCCCCCACCTGCTCCCAGGCATGGCCAGACTGCCTTCCTGTTCCTTCTCTCCTGGTCACGCCTGTCCCCCGAGCCCTGCCCCCACCCTCTGCCACATCAGGACCCCCATCTCTTCACAGGGTCTCCCCATCAACACTGAAGTGTCTCTTGACCCCACTTCCCTGTTTGCAACCCAGTGTATCTGATCCCCTTTATAGCAAAGCTCAGAAAGGTTCTTTATACTCGCTGCCTCACGATTGTTCCCTTCCATTCGCTCTCGAGCCCACTCGAACAGGTCCTTCCTCTCGGCACTTCGCTGAAGCAGCCCAACCTGAGGCCAGTTGGCAGGCCGAGGCCTGCTGGCAGCTCCTGCTCAGGCCTTCCTCCTGCGTGGCCCCCCTCCTGTTTGAGGAGGCGCCCCCAGACCTGGCCACGGACAAGGGCCTCTTCTTCTCACGTCCTTGGTGATCTCGGGTCCTTTAAACACCAGCGTCCAGGAGCCTGTCCCAGCTTGTGGCCCCCACCCCAGGGCAGGCTCATAACCGGCGTGCTCTGGGCCTCTGCCCTGGAGTGTGAGGGCACCCACCTTCCCAAGGTGGGCTCCTGGCTCCCCCCCCACCCCGACGTGCTGCTCTGACCAACCCCCATCTCGTTAAATGGGGCCTCTTTCCTTCCAGCTGTGGAGGCCGAAAGCCTCGGCGTCTTCCTTCCTTCTTCACTCCTGCACCCTCTCTACCGGCAGACCCTGCCGCTTCTACCTTCAAGGCAGATAGAGAACCCGAGTGCCTCTCTGCACTGCCCTCGCCTCACCAGCAGCCCCTCTGCCCGGACTGCCGCCCCTGCTGCCCTCCCCCCTCCACCAGTTGGCACCACACCCACGCTCGCCTGGTGGGCTGCCAGTCGGGGCAACACTCCCCTCGCCTCTCGCAGGGTCCCCGTCCACAGCCATCCTCTTCTCCACGGGCCCTCCCCGACAGCCTGCCCTCTGTTGGGGCTGCGTGTGAGGCCAGGCCAGTGGCTCAAACGGAAGGGCAGCCCTGCAGGTCCAGGGGCCCCTCCCTGGGGCCTCCCGATGGGCAGACGGGATGGGTTGCTGTGGGTGGGAGGCACCACCCATTAGCCCACCCTGGTGGGAGCCTCAGAGCTGTGCAGGGTGCTGATGCCACAGTCCCGGTGGCTCGCTCTGGCGCTATCCGGAGGCTGAGCTAATAAACCACTTTCGGGTGATAAGGCTGGTTGCCAATGTCTTCTCATTTGTGAGGGCGGCAGGACATGCTTGATTGCTCCCATTTTCTAGAAGAAGAGACTGAGGTGCAGGGAAGTTAAAGGGCTATCCAGGCTGTCACGGGTACAAAGTGGGACCTCCGCCCCAGGCCTACCAGCTCTCTGCCCTGGAGTGCGGGCCCAGGGCCTGAGTGCGGGGCTCTGATGCGGGGCTGGCACCAGTCCGGCACACGTGGTGCCCGTGTGCACCTGTGTGAAGGGGAGGGGCATGGTCATCCAGAGGCCCTGGCGCCGGGAGGGTGTGGCCAGCTGGAAAGGGCTTGCCCAGCCACCTTTGGGGTGCGGGCCATGGGTGGCCTTTGAGGGTGCAGAGACCCCCAAACCAGGGCAAAGTGCCGTGTTCCCGTGCACATGACCTTCTGAGAGTGGGTCCTGGGTTCCACCAGACCCCCCAGGAACCCATGCATGACTCCCCGTGGGACCCCAGGACAGAGGCCTAGAGACCGTCACACTTCTCCTTCGACCTCCCCCCAGGGAGGGCCCCACAGAGACAGAACCGACTCACCTTCCAACCCGACCCCTGGACCTGTGGAGCCGTCCCTCCCCCAGGGTCCGGGGCCAGCAGTGCCAGGCTGGGGGCTGCACTCTCACCCTGGGGTTCCCCCCACTTGGATCCGAGAGGGCTGGCATTGGGCCCCTCAGCTCCTCCTGGGAGAGACTTCTTCCTGTTCTTGTCCTCACTTCATCCTGAGCGGGCCTGACCTCTGGGCTGGGCCCCCGTGGTCCATTCTCCGCACAGCCTGGCATCGACTTTCCATGGAGAGAGGCCAGGCCACCCGCGTCCCCATTCACCCCTGTGGGCGGGATGAGCTTGTTCGGGAAGCCCTGCCTGGCCCTCCTGGCCACCCCGCCTGGGCTTCTTCCCCATACAGAACTTCCCACCCAAATAATGTTTAGTGGCAGATACTCTTTCACGCCGTTTGGGGTCTGTCTTCACGGTCTGTGGGTGTCCTCCCTCTGCTGTCTGGGGCTCAGCCATGTGGTGCGTGCTCTTCCTCTCTCCCGTCATCCTGCCCGTGTGGCTGCCAGTTGCACGGTGGTCACTCGTCCTCGTCCCCGTGCCCCGGCCCCACAGGTCCGTCTGTGTCGCAGGAGATCCGCTTCCCGGACATCTACGGCGGGGACACGCAGCTCTGGGAGGCGCACTTCCGCGGCATCGGGCGTGCCTACCGCGCACTGGGCAAGGGGGACGACTTCACCATCCGCGTGCTCACCGAGGACTTCACGCTGCCCTTCCCGTTTGCCTGGCCACCGGGGCCCGACCCTGCCAACGGGCCGCTCTTCTATGACCCGCACGACCGCACCGGCTTCGACTTCCTGCTGCAGGGCCCGGGGGCCCTGCCGCCCGCGCTGCTGCGGCCCCTGCACAGCACGGCACAGGCGGCCCTGCGCAAGCGGCAGCTGGAGCGCCTGGCACTGAGCTACGCGCAGGCGGGTGCTGGCCAGCGGCCGGGCCTCGTGTTCCTGGCGCCTGGGCCCACCGCCAGCACCACCGTCAATGGGCCTGCCGGGCCTGAATCCGCCACCCCCAGTGGGGGCACCCCAAGACTGGGCTAGCTCCCTGGTGTCCCCCGGAAAGTTAATAAAGAGTGCATTTGCTTCTTCCGCCTCTCTGACTCTGTTTGCTGGATACCCCAGGACAGGCCTCCGGTCCCTGCTGGGCCCTCATCTCAGCCCCACCCCCAGGCCAGGCTTGGCCGGTGGTGGGGCAGGCAAACTGTGCGGGCCTCAGATGGACAGTGAATGAAGGGGCAAAGTCAGAACGGCAGGCAGGACAGGGCTGCTGGGGCAAAGAGGACCTGGGAGAGGGAGGTGGTGGCTGGGCTGCTCCCAGTGCCTGCCCTCAGGGGTCCTAACCACAGCCCTGCAGTGGACGTGGGTGGCTCTCCCCTGCAGGTCAGGACCCCAAAGTCCTGGCTTCTCCAAGCAGCAGCTGGGATCTGGTTCCTGGCGTGTCTGACTTCGAGTTCACGCCCGGGAGTTTTCCCATTTTCCATGACAGATACGCTGGGATGTAGGAGATGGGGGAGGTGGGTGGACAGACGGAGAAGGGCAACATGTCGGAGCAGAGAGGGGGAGACAAGGAGCCGAGAGAACAGGGTGGGCGGGGGAGAGGCTGGGATGGCAGAGACTCCAAGTCAGGAAGGCCACGCAGTGCACCCCTGTACTGCTGCCCTCGTCCCCTGCTGACTCTGGGCAGGAGGGGGTGCCCCCTGCTCCCCACTTTGGGGCCGAGAGCATTCCCTGAGTTAGGAACAGCGCCAGGGCCGGCCTCCATCTGAAGAGCATCCCCTCTCTGGTGACAAGCCACGGCAGAGACCTGCCCGCTGTGGGCTGGCGGGCAGCAGACCCCAGTGGCTTCCTCCTCTGACCCGTGGGCCGAGGGCCCCGGTCTCCTCTTGCTCAGGGCTGGGTTCCAGGTGCGCCTGCGCGGTGGGAGGCCCGGGGGTGCGCTCTCCCTCCATAGAATTGGAGCTTTTCTTTTCCCCTTTTCTTTTAATTTGAGGTTATTTATAGCTTCCTAGTCGTGGGTAGAAATGTTTTTTTCCCAAAGTCTTGCTTGGAGAATCAGCAGCAGGAAATGCTCCCTCGGAGGGGGAGAAGGTCTCGGGGCTCTGGAAGAGGGGTGTACAGCCCCCCCTTCCGCAGGCGGCCCCACAGGCCCTTCGCTCCCCGTCCGGCCTCCTAGGCAGCCGCAGCCTTGCCTGTTACTGGCACACAGATGCACGCAGTCCCCGTGCGGCAGTTGGCGTTTGCACTGCAACAGGACAACAGCGGCCAGGATGTTAGGTAGCACTACCCCACGTTGCGTGTTCATGGCTCAGGTCCCCCAGAAGCGGTCCCTCCACCCAGATTCACGTGCAGGAGGTTTACCTGGGAGATGACGCTTGGAGACATGGGTGAGGGGATGAGGAAGGGAGATGGCGGAGGGAAAGAAGCCAATAAATAACAGGTGTGACGTCCCCCAAGTGTCCCTGATGGGCAGCGGCAGGTCCCACTGGGGACCCTGGGTGACAGCGTGGTGCCTGCCTCTGACCTGTCACACCCTAGGGACAAGGAAGTCTCCCAGGGACTTGGACTCCGGCAGGTCCGCTTGCCTGTGGGGGCGCCGAGCACACACCTGTCTCAAGAACAGAAATGCAGAGTAACCGTTTACAAACTTTCACGAGTAGGTACAGCCATTTCACGACTCTAGAGTGTAGTTGAGAATTTGGGGTTTATCTCTGGTATGTTTTTAAGTAGGAATGTTTCTAGAAATGTGACTGGGATTTAACCTTGCTGAGCAGAGGGGTGGGGCACCCCGAGGGTCCCCCTTCCATTCTGGGTGCAGGCGGATCCCTGGGGAGAGGGCAGGGAGCCGAGGCTGGGCAGCGACTCCAAATGCCGAGGCTGGGCTCTCTCCACCTTGAAACCCCCACGGGCTTCCAGGGCCACAGAAAACCGCATACCCTTCAGTGTCAAAGGAGCCAACCCCCCAATTTCCCAGGAACGGGGTCGGGGGTAAGGTGGGGCCCCCCTCTATGCTTCAGTTTCCTCAGGAACAGACTCTGAGGAGCAGGGAGGGTGTTTAATTAATTGCAATTACAATCTTCCAAGGAAGCCAAGAGTTGAAAGTTGTTCCTAATTACTGTGTTAGGACGTCGGCCGCTCCCCAGATTGACTGTGTTTGAATCTCTGATGGAGGATTAATTGAGTTACTTGGAGGACCCACTTTGCGTCCCTCCCCATCAGATGAAGTCCTCGTCCAGCCAACAAAGGCTGGGCTGGAGTGAGTGACCATGAGTGACGGCCCGGGGGAGGCCAGCGGCGGTGGCCTGGAGGAAGGTCCCAGGGCCTGGAGGCCGGACGGCCAGAGCGCCTCCTTGTGGTCACCAGAGTGGCTGGCCCAGGAGTTCCTGTTCCTGCCTCCTGGCACTTCCTGGGCAGGCCTGTGCCCCCAGCCCTGTGCGGTTGGGTGGTGACCGCTGGCCAGTGAGTTGTGGGCACCATGACATCTGTCACTCCAGGGCACCTATTGCCAGAGCAAGACCCTTGGGGGTGCTGTCCCCTCTGCCACGATGACCAGGGCGTTTGAGACAGCGCCTCCTCCATTGTCCTGACTCCTGGGGCCCCTGCGGCGTGAGGGACACGTAACTGCCGTGGCCGCAGCCCCGGAGACTTCCTGCTTGTCCCCTCCTGACCTCCTTGGGCTCCTGCGGGCAGGCAGGGCTGCTGCAGAGGAGGACGGTGCTGGCGGTGAAGGGAGCACAGACCCAGGGAGGGACCTCCTCAGTGCGGTGCCCCCAGCCCCCCGGTGGAGACCATGTGGGCATATGGCTTACACTGAGCTGCCGCCTCCCTGTGCCTCGGTTTCCCCACTTGTGGCCCAGCAGGGCTTGAGGACTGAACGAGGGGGAAGCAGCCTGTGGACATGCCCCATTCTCCTTCCTTCCACAGGCTGACGGCCCTCCCAGTGGCTCAGAGGGAAGCCACTGGAGAGGGGAGGGCTGAGCAGAACCCTCAGGGAAGGGGCTGGGAGGCAGGCAGCTGGGGGCAGGGGCCCGGGTGGGTGGAAGTGGCAGGTCCAGGCGTCTCACGTGGGGCAAGGACCAGAGTTGGGGCTGTGGCCTGTCCCATGATGGTTGGGAACAGAGACACGGCATGACCTCATGAATGATTCTGAACAGGCGTTCATATTGCCCACCCCCCCCACTCCTGCCAAGGGGAACTCAGTTCTTGGCAGATGAAGAAACCTTACTCTTACATACGAAGCACAGACAGGCATCGGGCCACCGGCAGATGCCCAGTTCATCCGTGGTCTTAACATTTTGCGGGGGAGCAAGTTAGGAGCAAATGTTTGAAGACGCTCCTTAGGGATGGGGTGGGGCAAGGGAAGAGGCCGAGACACACTGGTTGGAAGGCACCCCTGCCGCTGTGGGTGGAACCCGGTCCGGGCTGGGTGCGAGGGAGGCCGGGGTGCCGGGCGGCTGCGCTGCAGGTCCCGGGCACGGGGCCGCAGTGGGCTTTCCTGAGGACCCGGCAGGAACCGAGGAGCAGAGAAGTCAGGGATGCCCAGGGTTTGGCTGGAGCAGTGGGAGTGACCCCCGGGGGTGGCTTGGACCCTTGGACGGTGGAGGCCTGCAGTCTCATGGGCGTGTTGGGGACCCAGACTGGGCACAGAAGGACAGATGTGGTGGCGTCTCAGATGCGGAAAGGGCCCAGCGGAGGTGCAGGTGGAGCCCCTGGGTGAGGCAGGCCCTCGGGCCTCTCGTCCGGGAGATGGGCCCTGACGCTGGGCTTCCGGGCAGGGACTGAGCCTGGCAGGGACTGCAGGACCTTTCAGGCCCGGATGCTGGGCTGTTGCGGGAGAGGAGTGCTCCCCTGGCCCTGTAATTACTGAGCGCTAACGAGCCCTGAAATTAAATTAGGAAGAGGAGCTGATGCCGACATCCTTCCCTCCCCACCGTGGGAGAGTCCATGAAGATCCTGGGTGGACTGACAGACGGAGGCCGGGAGGGGCGCTCCGGGCAGGCCTCGCCTGGTGGCTGCAGGAGGGTGGGGGCTTGGGGGCGCAGAGGGTATTCTGATACTCAGGCGTCCCTTGTGCTCACTGGACCCCAGGGACAGGGCTCACCCGAGAGCCTCCCCGACCAGGTGAGTCCCATCTATCCCTCTTTTTCCAGCTGGGGAAACCGAGGCAGGCTCCATTCAGGGCCTGACTCAGGCCACAGGAATGACCGAGTACGCCCAGCCATCCAGCTCCTGGGCCAGGAGGCTCAAAGCACCTGTGTCCACAGCAGGTGGGGCGTCCTCGGGGTGGCCTGTCCTCCGACCCTGGCCCTGTCCGCAGCCGCTGGCCACGCTGGGTCGCAGCCAGTTCCCAGGCCGAGAGCTGGAAACAGTCTCAAGGAGCCCCCGCGCTCCCCTTAAAGACGCAATTGTTCCCGAAGCGCGGCTCCGCGCCGGTCGCCCACCGCTCCTGGGGCGCTTCCTCGCTCCTGTAGTCGGCTCGGCATTAATCACGGCTAATTGCTAGTGGGAGCCGTTTATGTCAAGGGCCATTATTCCTGGGAAGAAAGAGAAATAAAAGACGGCTCCTTTCAGGAAGCCGGGAGGAAGAGGGCCAGGCCCGGAAGCAGTCCCCCAGCCCCGGCGGCCCGTGTCCAGGCGCTCCAACCGGCCTGTGACAAATGGGGGCCCTGGCCCCCACTGAATATTCAGAGAAATGAGCACATCCATTCCGTTCACGCGTTTTTCTGAAGTTGTCGTGAGTTTCCTTGAAACCGAGGAGGTTTTTTTTCCCTTTCTCCTTTTTTTGGCAACAACAGCTGGGAATAAGTTGACACTTTCTAAAAACTGTCACATACTGCTCGGGGAGGGGCTGGGGAGGAGCCCAGTGCTCACCAAGCCCCCGGGGCCCTGATCAGAGCTTGCACACCAGGCGGGGACCCTGGCCCTGCAGGGGGTTGGTGGTGGGCGGCCAGGGGACCCTGAAGCCCAGGCAGGGTGGGTGGGCGCCACCCGGGGCTCTGGAGCCGGCAGGGCTGCCAGAGAGGGGTCTCTGCATGTCGCTCACCGTCACTCCGGTGTCTGAGTTTTCATTTTCACTGGAGTGTGGCTCAGATCAGTGTATTCACCGGAGGACCTGGTTGTCATTTTCTTTAATCGGGGCATTGTGCCCGACGTCTGCTTCCTCTGGACGACACCCCCCTGTGGAGAAACCCGTGGCGGGGCTCCAAAGGCTCTGTGTGAGTGTGAGTGTGAGTGTGAGTGTGTCCTTGCTGGTGTCTGCACCCCAGCACGAGTGTGCGCGTATGCACCTGCCTAGGCACACACCAGTGCTCGCCAGTGTGTACGTGTGTGTCTGTGCTAGCACACCAGCACATGCGTGTGCACGGGTGTTTGTGGATGTGTATGCATGCATCTGTGCACAGAAACAGAGGCCTTCGCGGGCCCCTCGCTGGTCTCTCTCAGCAGCCCTCTGAGCTCAACTTTAGGCCCATGTTACTGATGAGGAAACTGAGGCTGAGAGGGTGGAGGGAACTCAGTCGAGGTCCCCAAATGACAGCCACCCCAGCCTAGACATCTGTTCCCCCATGGCACGCTTAGAGGCGCAGAAGGCCGTGCAGGGTGGGACAGGTGGGCGGGACATGGTTTTCGGGCCCTTCCCACTTCCTTCCACCTCTCCCTCCCCTCCTGGCCGGCTGCCAGCCTCCCTGGACAGCCCACCCGCTGGCCCTGGGGTGCAGCTGGCTCCTCCAGCCTCAGGTCCTGCAACAGCTCCACTGGATACAGCACCCGGTGGCAGCTCAGGAGGCCTGGCAGCCCTTCTCCATCCTAGGGCACCCTGTGGGGACAGCACGTAAAGCCCTTTTTCTGTGTCTCCTGTGGCCCCATGAAGGAGTAGACCCCCCATCCACAGAGCCAAGCCCTAGGAAGTGGTGACCCCCTTTGAATGTCCTGCAGCCCAGCTTCTCCCGTGTCCCTGCCTCATTGCTTGGTGAGGCTGCCTGGCTCCTTCCCTCTCATCACCCTCTATCCTCCCAGGAGAGAGCCCGAGCTTCCTGCTGTGTCTGCAAGACTCAGGCTCACCCCAGGTGCCATCTCACTGGCTCTGCCGTTCTGGCGTGTTGGGGCGGGTGTCTGAACTGCAGCCTCTGTTTCCTTGTCTGTACGACGCGGTGAAGTGACAAGGTGGCGACACCAGTCTCACTGCCCGCTAGGAGTCTCCTGGTCTCCAGGAGCGCTGGGCCACCTCCGCCACGCTTCGGAGTCCCAGCTAAGGACCAGATGGTGTTTTGAGCATTTTAATAAGAGCTATTTGCAGTGTTGCTGCCATAAAAAAATTCCTGCTTAATGAGCAAATGCATGTCGGTAGCAAGTTAAAGGCGCGTGGATGTTTTAAATATTATGTACGTCGTGTTCGTGTTAACAAACCTGATTTTTAATTACACCTTCCCTGCTGCCTGGCTAGGCTGTGGGTAGGGGAAGGAAAGAAAAAATCAGGCAAAACAAGTGTGGTTTGGCATCAGAAGTGACAGCCAGCTTCTCTGGACCCCCGCTCTGCAGACGCTGCTCTGATGTGCGGGCAGACGCGGGGGGCCTGGCAGGGCTCTGAATGCTCCGCCCTGCCAGCCCTTCCCTCTCGGTCACAGGCTGGGCCCTGACCCCGCCCACTGACCAACTCCGATGACTGACCGAGCCCTGTTCCTGGTCACCGTCTGAGCCCTGGTCCCAGCTGTGGACTGAGCCTAAATCATGTACCCAGACCAACCCCTGGGATGTGTCGGGATGGCCTCAGACCCCTTGCTAGTGTCCCCAGTGGGGACAAGCAGGAAGGCGCTGAGCCAGCAGGGAAGCTTAGGGACCCCGAGAGAGCCGCCGAGGCCCCGGGGAGGTGGTGTGGGTGGGCTTTCTGCCGATGGTTGAGAAAGGACCCCCAGCGTCCAGGACACCCACATGTCTCCCCTCTGCCAACCCAGCCCCCAGCACTGGGGCCCACTTCCCAGTGGTGGTCTCCAGGGGCTGCCCCGGAGGCCCGTAAATGCCTGTTTCCGACCCCCCCGCTGTCCCAGGCAGGTCCCATCAGATCTGCCTTTCACAGATGATCCCTGGTGTCTCTGGGAGGTGGCCGGTGCCCCAGCATCTCGGCTGCTAGCGACACCTCCAGGGCTGGGGCACTGGGCTAGGGGCAGGGCCCTCCCCAGGTGGGTCCCCAAGAGCAGCGGCTCTGGAATGCCAGGCCAGTCAGCCTCAGGACGGAGCTGTGCACAGGGGGAGGGGCCGACGGAGCTGACGGTGCCTGGCAGACAGGCCGTGGCCACCACCAGGGGTTAAAAGTCCCAACAGCCATACGGTGTGACCCTGAACCCCGCGTGTGTAAAGAGGGGCATTAATTCCCCAGCAGACACCTTGCTCCCGGAGGAGGGGGTCAAAGCACGCGGAGACCCTGCTCCCCTGGAGTGCACGCTGCACCGCATCGGTTCTCAAAGTGCGGCCTGTGGAACCCCAAGCGGGGTCCCCATGGTGCATTCGGGAGATGCACAGTGTCAAAACCATCCTCACAACAGCGGCCACATGTTGTCTGCCTCTTCTGTGGTGACATCTGAGCGGAGGGGACAGCAGCAGGGACAGCAGGGAGTGGCCGGGGTGGCCCAGATAGGAGGGGCCGCTCCGCGCTCTGCGGGCTGTCGCGGAGCGTCGTGTTCCAGCCTGCAGAGCAGCCCCACCAGAGTCCCTGTCAGTGCAGCTGCCGTTGGTGACTCGGGAACATGCTTCCGTGGACCTCGGCCTGGGGTGCGAGTCTGGGTCCCCACGCAGTGGTCTGGGGCGTTGGCGGCAGCCGGCAGGCGAAGCTGCGACCGTGCAGGGGGCGGGGGGGGGCAAACGCAGTTGCTGTCGTTTCCAGTTCAAGCTCGACTCACCGCTTTCGTGGGGGGAACTGCTACCCTCAGTCCTCCCCAGTCACAGGCCCGGCTCTGCGACCCTCCGTAGGCTTGTGTGCGGGGACCACAGGGGGCTGGCCAGCGAGGAGCGGGAGGGAGCAGGGGACAAGGCTCGGCCTCAGCGGCACCTGACTCTGCCCCCGGGGGGTCCTTCAGCTCTCATCTGGATGGGACAGTCACACCTTCCTCCAAGGCAAGGGGGTGTTTGTTAAGAGCCCGGCATTTGTAGAGGCTCTGAAAATGACCCTGACGATCGCCGGGAATGACTACTTTCTTGCACACCTTATAAAATAAGTCCTAATATGTCTGTTTTTCAGGGGGGGGAAACTGAGGCTGGCCTGGCTGGGTCCCCTGTGAGCAGGGGGTTGCAGTGAGGCCTGCTGCTGCCCTGCGCCCTCCCCCACCAGCCCTGGTCTGCAGCACAGGCCCCTGCAGAGCCGAGTTCTGGGGGCCTCCCCATTTGTGGGGGCTCTCTGGCTGTTGTCACGGGAACTGCCTTCTCATACCACGTGCTGCTGTGCTGGGAGGCCGGGTCCCGTAGATGGGCAAGAGACTGGAGCCAACTGGGCGGGACCGGGACGGGCAGGCTACTCACCGAGGCCTCGTAGATGGGCGTGCAGTCGGCACTCGGGGGCACGTAGTCACCTTGTGCCAGAGAGGAGTGGGGTGCAAGGCTGGGGTTAGGGTGAGGCTAGGCCGGCAAGGTGCAGTTAGGGTGGCACCCTCCCCCCAAGATGCTGACAGGCCAGCTCTTGTCACCTTTGTCCTGAGCGAGTTGATTAGAGACCACTGCCCTCCTGGATGGCGGACAGGGCGGCATTCTGGGAATTGCTGCTGCTGACCGCCCCTCTGATCTCCTCACCGCTGCTCTGGGGCTGGGATGTGGTGGGGACGTTCGCAGAGGGACCAGGACGTTTGTCCCCATGTCACGTGGTTCTTAATCAGCCCACTCCAGGCTGGCCCGGCCGTGGAAGGAGCGCCTTCGAGGGGCACCTGCCCCCCGGTGCCCATTTGGAAGCCGACACGTTCGGAAGGAATGGGAACCCGTTCCAGTGCCCTGGGCCAGGGGCCGAGCTGCCGCAGAAGTAAATTCTAATTAAAGTAGAAATTAATCCTCTCCCCCAGCTACCTGCTATCTGCAGCTGGATGAGCCAAAGTTTTACGCTGCTAATTAATGTTATCGCTCCTTAGCTTTATTTACATAAGCAGATATAATTCTCCTGGCCTTGGAGGAGCTGAAGGGGAAACAAAAATTTTTTTTCTTTACATTAAAAGAATTAATTACCTTGATCCTCTCTCTCTCTATTCTAATCACAGACCGGCAGCTCCCCTCTCTGCGCCCCCACACCCCTGGGGTGGGGCCCCCTGATGCACTGGGCGCTCCTCCTGGGGGGCTGTGGGGGGTACAGGGCTGGGGAAAATGCCGAAGACCGGCGTCCATCTCAGGAGCCGGGCCTGGCGGGCGGGATGCTGACCTGCAGTTTCCGACCTGGGCCCTGTTTATCGCCCTGCTCAGTAGACTCGCAATGCCTGTGAAACAGACTGTGAGGTCTGGAGCTCCTGGCACATTCACACGTCGTACGGACGGCACTGGCATTTGGCATGTTTGGGGAGGTCCGAGTCTGTTCGGGGATGCTCTCTGCTGCTTCCCTGGAGGGTTCCAGCCTGGGGTCCTTAGAGCGGAGGAGCAGCTGAGATGGACGGGCGGCGGCAGGAAGCCGGGTGCTGCCGAGAACCCCATGGCCGAGCCCTCAGTGGAGGAAATGTAGACTCGGAAATGCACACAGGTTGCCTGTTGTCTGCTGACTTGTGCACGGTGTCACCCAGTGCAGGAGCGGAGGGCACCCTTGGGTGCTGGCCTGGCTCGGCACCCAGCACTAGGTTCAGGGAAGCCACTTGGTCCCTGGGCCATAGTTTCTACACTTATGACTCAAGGGGATGCCCCTGTCCTGGGGGCCTCAGGGCTGGGGCGGTGGCACACACCCGGGCAGGTGCTACCTGGGCAGGTGCTGCCCGGTCACGGGCTTAGCAGCTGCCCGCCCTGAGCTGTCTCTGCACTTTCCCAGGGAGGAGGCCTGACCCTGACCCGCCAGCCAGTGGGTCCGGGATCGAGCACACCCACGATCTGTGGCCGGAGTGGGGGGGTGGCAGGGGGGCTGAGGAAGAACCAGTTTCTCCCAGGGGAGAAAAGTAGCGTAGCTTCAAAAAACCACCTCCCAATCATGGCCCCCTCCCAGAGAACAGCTGCGCAGAGTCGGAAAGAGTTTCTCCCCGCCCCCCAAGACATTCTGGTGTGTTTTTCCCTCCTTGAATGAGGGAAAGAAGTGATGCTGAGTAGGGAGTAATTACCCGAATTGAGGCGGAAATCAGTCCTGAAAGGGAGAGAAATGAAGAGGCCCAGCCAGGAAATGTCCCCTCCCCCGGGCCCTTGTCCTCCAGCCCCACCTGCTGCTCTGCCTGCCCCTCCCTGCTGGGGACAAGGGTGTTGTTCTCAGCTCTGGTGGCCTGTCCCCTGCCGCTTCTCCTCCTCGCCACCCAGGAGTTCCCCCTCCCCCCACCCCAGGGCCTGGAGAAAACCAGATTTCACCTTCTTAGCATCACAACATTGTAAAAAAAACCTTAAAGTAGTGGAGACTTCTAATGCTTTTCCTTCCTTTTTAGACATCCTTCTGGGATGGGTGTCCCTGTTGACCGACCAAGGGTGTGGGGACGCCCGGTGTGTGCGCAGAGCGGAGAGCCCGCGCTCGGAGGACCCCGGCCCAGCCCGGCTCCGCCTCTCGGGACCAGCCCAGCAAACCGGGCAGCTCTGGGAAGCCGCCCATGTTGCAGGAAGAAAGCTGTCAGCACTGGACGGCCCACGGCAACACAGCGGAAGCGGTGGGTTTCCAGTGTGCGGGTCAGGGGTGCGCGCGGATTCTCAGCCGTGTGCCCCCCTCACCACAACTGTGCTCTCGGAGAGAGACCCCACGCCCCGCCTCCCCGAGCCCCGCCCACGTCCCCTTTGGAACCCCGAGCTGGCTCTCCGTCTCCATGATGCGTCTGTTCTGGTCACTTCGCACACTCAGGAACACACACAAACACGGACTCGCAAACGTGTGGCCTCCGTGTCCGGCTCCTCTCACTCAGCGTGAGGCGGCCGAGGCCGCTCCGTGCTGTAGCGTGTGCCTTTTCTCTGGCCGGACACCATGCATTCCGTTGCATGCACCTACCATGCCGTCCCCCCGTGTCTCGGTGGGTGGACACCGGGGTGTCCCCAGCTTTGTCTGGTGTGAGTGATGCCTCCGTGGACACCTGGGTGCAGAGGTGGTGTGGGCGCCGTGTTTCCGTCCTCTTGGCTCCGTGTCCAGCAGTGGACCCGCTGGGTCGGGGCAGCCTGTCCCACGGCGGCGGCGGCACCGTGCTGCCTCCCCGCCAGCAGTGGGTGAGGCTCCGGCTCTGCCCTCTCCTCGCCCACATTCGTGATCCCACCGGGTGTGATGCGGCATCTTGCTGTGCAGTGAACATTTCTACGTCAAACTTTGACAACTTGCTGGACCCCAGCCCCCCTCTGAGGGTCAGGGAGGAAGAAGCACTCCCCGCCCCGACACGCTGGCCTCATGCAGGGTGGTTCTGGGACGGCTTCGCCATGGGGTCCAGTGCACAGGACCCGTGTGGGGTGGTGTGTAGGGGGTCAGATAGGCCCAAGAATGAGTGAATGACTGAACATGTGTGTGAATCAGCAGACTTGAATTTACACCGTGGCCTCCGAGGATGGAAGCAGAGGCGTGAGGCTGAAGCCACGCACTGGCCTGGGCAGAGCTGCGGTCCCACCCGAGGGGCCTGGCCCTTTGGCAGGCACTGGGGCCCCCAGCCTTGGTCCCGGGAAGCATGCCCTGCGTGCACGTTCGGTGGATGCGGACAGGTACATAACCGCGCATGTCCGCTGTCACCGCGTCACACAGGGTGTTTCCCTGTCCTGCGAGTGCCCTGAGCACCAGCTGTTCATGCCCCCGCCCTGGCACCTGCTGGCCTCTGTCTGTCTCCGTGGTGTGGCATTTCCACGTTGGCTTCTTTTGCTTAGTAACATGCAGTGAAGGGTAGGTTCCTCCCTGTCTTTTCATTGCTGGGCAGCTCATTTCCTTTTAGTACCGAACTGCATCTCGCTGTCTGCGTGGAGCACCACAGCTCGCCTCGTCCCCTGCAGAGTTCCTGCTGTTGGTTTTCCCTGGCTCCCCCCCCCCCCCCCCCCCCCCGTCAAGCCTGACTGTGCATCCAACTCGGGGGGCTGGACCCGATAGGCCTCACGTAGATGCTGTTGGGTGACTGGTAGGTGGAGCCGAGACCTGAAAGTGTTGTGGCCCGACCTCCAAATCCGCCCACCAGCAGACGGGAGTGGTGCGGAGCTGGAGCAGGTGGCGGGGGGTCACTTCCTCTGTTGAGCTTCCATTCCCTGGTCTGAAGGTTGAAGACAGGGAAGCAGCTGCCCCATGTGCTGGGACCCGGGAAGTGGCCGGCCCGGGGACTGCACGCGGGTGGTGCCTGATAAAGGCTGAACGCTCAGTGCCGCCCTTGGCTGTGGTGCGGCCCCGGCCCCCTGTGCTCTCTCGCCTTGCACTGCCCTGCAAGAGTGGTGGGCCTTGGTGGGCTTTGGGGCTGGGAAGGGCCCCGCAGGGGCAGTTGGCTGCCAGCCGAGCAGCTGGGGGTGGGAGGGGGCAGTGGTGGCTCAGCAGCTCTCCAGAAAGTGACGTTTGGAAGGAGGCGGGGCCTGGGCACTGTTAACATTTGAATGCCAGGAGTGAGGGCTCCCAGGGGCCAGCCTAACAGCCAGCAGCCTTCCCCTGGCTGCAGCAGTTGGCAGGAAATGTGCAGGCAGGATTTAGGGGTTCAGAGGTGTGCTCCCAGCTGGTGGCTGCCTTCTCCTAAACGCCCCCAGGAGTGGGGGTGGGGCCAGGAGGCACCAGGAAACCTGCCCTGATCTGGGCCTCTCTCCCACCTGCATCTCTGGCCCCTGAGCCAGGTCCTCCCAGTCCCATGCCGAGTCAGGCTGACAGCCCAGTCCTGACCCAGCCAGCTGTCATTCTAGCCTCCCCATGGGACACCCCGCCCTGCTGCCTCACTCCAGACCTGGCTGGCCTCTCCCATGGGGCCCCAGGGACAGTCTGTGCTGCTTCAAGGACAGGGCCAGTGTGGGGACTTGGAATGACAGGAGTGGCCTTGGGGACTGACCAGCTTTCCCTTGGAGCTGATTCTGGAACGGCAGCACGGCCCCGCCCCCATCGGTGGGATGGCCTTGCCCAGCACCCGGGGACCTGCAGCTGTCCCTCCCCAGAGTGGCCCCTCACAGAGGCTGGGGGAGAGGCCAGCTGCAGCCGCTGGGCTGGGCCTGGCCCTGGTCCCTGGAGGCCTCAGGGAGGGTCCCCAAGCCCTTCCTTTGTAGCTGGGGCTCCCACAATGACATGGGCTCAGACCGGTGCCTCGGTTTCTGGCTTCCAGAGGCATGGGATTGCCCGGGTCTCGGCTCCGGGCTGTGCAGCAGGGGGAGCCGAGCCCCAGCCTTCAGCACGAGGGGCCAGGCCTCGTCTGCCCTTCTGGGTTCCTCCTCCTGCTGGGCCTCACCTGCGGTTAGGGCCCGGCTGCGGCAGGGGCACTCTGCCGCCCTCCTGCCGCCTCGGCCGTGGCCTCCATTTGGACCAGGGGCTGAGCCCGGAGGCAGGAGACGTGTCTTGACTATTGTGCCGTGCCCCCTGGGGGTCCGATCTGGTGTGCCCCACCTCTGAAAGCCTCCTCCCAGGTGTCCCTGGCTGACCGCTGGTCACCTCTGGTCCCTACGGCCTCAGCCGCGGGTTCGGTTCCAGGGCCTTTTGGGGAGAAGGCAGCGTGCCGCACAGTTCTCTGTGGGGACGCATAGTGGGTCCAGAGGCTCCCTGGGTCCTTCAGTGGCAGGCCTGTCCCCTCTGCAGTGAGAGCAGGTCAGCTAAGTGCAGTCAGGACCTGAAAGGCTGCACCCTGAGCTGCTGCGGTCCAGAAGCAAAAGGGGTGCCTTCCTGGGTCCCTCTTTGCAGCAGAACATTCCAGGTATACACTGTCCTGCTCTGCCACGCATCGGCTCAAAGCCCAGGGCTTGCTCTGCCCTCCGTGACTCCTTGGGCCCCAGCCAAGCCCCAGCTGTCTGTCAGGAAGCCCCGCTTCCCTCCTCTGTAGCCCCAGGAGGTGGGCCAGGCTGCCCCAGGCTCCCAGGCCTTTGTCCCAATGAATCCCTCTGCCTGAAGCTCTGTCCCTCACCCTCGGTGGACAGAGACCAGCCATTGGGACCTGGCACCAGGGTCACTTCCTTGGGAGGCCCTGTCCTGGTGCCTGTGTGGGTGACCAGGTCCCTGTGTGCCCTGCCATTCAGAATGCCTGGCTGTCACCCCCAGCAGGAATGGTAAGTGGCCCTTCCTGGCTGATGGCACAGCCTTGAGTGCCTGCTGCCCGCAGCCAAAGCTGGTCTGTATCCGTCCAGTCCTGTGTGTCCGGTGCCGACCCAGGAGCTGGGCGGGGCTCACCGGGGTGAGCGGGAGACAGGTGTGTCGGGGAAGCAGGGTTTCTCAGCGGCGGGGGAGGGAGGGAGAGCACAGTGAGGGGCGGGGCCCGGGGGCCTCCCCGTGTGCTCACTGAGCCTGACGCCTGAGTAGGTGCACAGGGCCCAAGTGGGGGTAAAGACCGCTGGGCTCAGCTGCCCCGTGGGGAAGGCCTGTGCTCCCCCCAGCACGGGCTGCTTCTCCTTGTGCCCAGGGCAGCCCCAGTGCCAGGTCCCTGCCCGCTTTCCTGCTGCAGGCTCCTGGCTCCCTGGGTCTGGGCCCTGCCCGGTCATCCTCAACCGGCCCCTCCAGGCCCCTGGGCTGCCGCCCTGGCCAATTCCTGCTGCTGTGCTCTGGCCCAGTGCCCACCCCACCCCCTGGCCACAGGCTTCTCTGCCTCCCCTGGCCCTCGTGTCTCCCCTGGACTTCTGGAGGACTCCAGCCCCAGGCCTTGGCTTTGCAAGTGCCTCCTCCTGCCGGACCCTGGAGAAGGCAGAGTCCCCCGCCCACTTCCTGCGTCCTTGTCAACATGGAGTCAGACCTAAGCAGGTTGCCATGTTAATTTCTGCACTGGCTCATTCTCCGATTCTGGAGATGAGCCAGAGGAAGGCTTTGGATTTTCCTCACCCAAGGTGAGCCACCCACGTTACTCGGAACGTGTGGATGGCAAGTGGCAAAGAGCAGCTAAATTTGAATCCAGGACCGATGCCCCAGCCACCTCCCTAGCTGCCTCCCCTCCCCCCCCCCACAGACACCTCCTCCGTCACCCACTCCCCTGACTCAGCCAGCTCCTGAGGGGCGGAGGGGACAGGGATGCTCTGCTGGCAGGTTTCCCCTCCAGGGAGGCCAAGGGACCCTGGCTCGCCTGTCCCATGCTCTCCAGGACTCTGAGTGGTGAGCAGAGGGTGGAACTGGCTGATACCAGTGGCAGCTGCCAGGAGACTCAGTCATTTAGTCACTCAACAAACACCCGTTGAACTCTTGCTAAGAGCCCTCAGCCGCCCTCCTGAGGCAAGCAGGCCTCTGCTTCCTGTTGTGATACCGTCTCAGTCCACCCCAGCGTCTCCTTTGGTACAAGCACCCGTGCCCGCTCGTTGCCGATTGGTATTTGAAGTTGCCGGACCACTGTGTGAGGGCACTAAAAATGAATGGACAGATGAGGGAAGGCTTCCTGGACCCAGCGGCTGTGAGGAAGTGGCTTAGAATCAGCCAGCTTGTGAGAGCAGAGGCTCCCCGGAGGCTGTGAGCTAGTCTCCCAGCGCTACAGCCTCACTGCTGCCGTCTGCGGTGTGGGCGTGACCCTGACTCAGCCCAGGCTCCTCTGGCTCTGACTCTGACTCTGACCCTGACTCTCGGCAGGTGCACTGACGGAGGACCAGCCAAGGGCGGTGTGCCTGAGGCACCCTGGAGGGGCCCATGGGGGCGCTGGTCTCAGGAGTCCCGAGCAAGCTGGGCCGGGCTGGATCCAGAGGAGGGGCAGAGACCGCTGGCCACCCTGCTGCTGTGAGAGCGGAGGAGGGCCGGCCGGCCCTGCGTGATGCCGGGAGGACAATCTGCCTGCTCATTGCAGTTGGCAGCCAATTGCCTGGGGACGCAGGTGGCCAGGTGTCTGGCCCATCCAGCCCCTGAAGGAGGTCTTTCTAAAACCATAGATTCAATTACAAGCTGGAAATGGGCCACCTGGGGAATCTTAACACTGAACTTCAATTAGTGGCCTGTGAGCCGACCCAGTGGGGGACAGAGAACTGCCCATCGGAGGGAAAGTGCTCTCTCAGCCACACAGCCGCAACAGCCTCCTTTTGGCAGCAGCTGGTGAAATGGGGGGTGGTGGGGGGTGTCTCATTTCTCTCTTGAGGTTGGATGCTGGGGCAGCACACAAGTGTTTGTGCCATCGACGTGGGCTTGGCCACCTTGTGCAGGACAGCCGTGTACCACCACACGCACAGCCACCTCGAGCCATGTGCGTTCCTTTCCTGTGAGGCTCCGGACCAAGGGACGGCATGGCCCTTGTCGCCCTGTCCCTGCCGTGCCTGGGACCACCGACGGGGCTCTTCCTTCAAACCCTCCCAGTTCAGACGTCCCCCTTTCCCAGGACTGGAAAGCCTCCTGGGGACCCCTGAGCGAGGCGAGCTGCTGCCTTCTCTACCGTGAGAAGCTCCAGAGATGGCCGTAGCATCGCTCCCCCTTTGTAGTGTGACCTGGCAGGCAGTCCAGTCGAGAGGCCAGGGCCGTCTGTCCACCCCTTGACTCTGGCCTTGGCCCTTTGGCCCACTTTGGGTGAGGGGACACTAGGAAACAGGGCTTGAAAAGTGCGTGAGCGTGGAGGCGTGTCCTGCCTTGCTGCTCCTGGGGACCCAGGGACCGCTGCCTTGTGAGCAACACGGGCCTGTGCTTCCACGGCTCCTGGGGTCAGCCGGCCGGATGCTGCCGCACGAGCGAGGCCAGCTGCGTGCGCAGGCAGTGGGGGCACTCGGGGGCTGGGCACCAGCCATCCTGGCTGAGCCCTGTCTCGGCGCCCACCACACCTCGGTGAGGGAGTGAATGGCGGTTGTTTGAAGCTGCTGGGTTCCGGGCCTAGTCGCGCAGCAGCTGCCAGCAGTACATGGCCCCGCATCGCCCCGCATCACTGCTCAGACCGCCCTCGCGCAGCAACGCCTCGCTCTCTGGGGAGGTGGGACAGGACACCGACTCCGAGTCAGAAAGACGCAGCTTCCAGCTCTTCACCTCACGTCCCCGTC